TATATGTATATGTATATTTTTACTAAATTTGTATATTGTAGCAAACTAGCTAAATAAAGGAAATAATAATAGTATATTTTATTCACTACGAAGTACCTATTGACGAAAAGTATGTGGAAATACCCCATCTATGCACTCATACACAAAAAATTCAATATTCCAACTTAAATTTTACCAGAAATAAAGCCATCTGAAGCACTCACGCGAATAGCTGGATGGAGCATCATATGCAAGATCCCAAAATTGGAAATTGTAAATGGATAGTAGTAGAAGAGGATAAAAAAAATAGTAGTTTGTGCAACAAGAGTGGATATGATGGCCATATCACATGAAGACGAAATTTGAGTACGACGCTGTAGGCGGAGTGCTCAATCGTCTGAGTGCGATGTGGACAATCCACTCTAGTTGTACAGAATATTTTCTCTACGACTCACTAACGAAAATTTACAAATAAAAAAAATATTTTAAGTTATTAAGACAAAATAACTAATTTTAAAAAAACACGGGTTGCACTCCGGGAGTGCCGGCAGAAGTGAAAACTTGAATATTAACGTTGTGCATTTTCTCCCTCCCTCTCTCCCCCTCCATCCATCCCTCCCTCCCTCCTTCCCTCCCTCGATTTCGATGTTACAACACTACTCTGACGCGAGTTTCACAGTTTTAACCCATCCCACAAAAGTGCTCAACGCCGCCAAAGAAGTTTTCACTTCAATAATTTATGACTTTTAATAATTTTTAAAATACAATAAACTGAGAATCGAACTCGAGTCTTCCGTGTGAAAGGCACATTTTTTGCAGTATTCTCTCTACCTAGAATGGATATAGAATATATTCGTTCAGTTGAAGGCAATAGCATATTTTTTCGTTTTGTAATCTGTGCGTAGATAAGCTAATATTCATGTGGGTGTAGAAAAAATATATAGTGATTGTTTCCAAGGAAGATGACGATTTTTTTTGTATCAGAACAACATTTTTGTGATGAAAATAATAAGATGTATTAAGTTAAATTTTCTTTTGATATTTAAATAGGCTTATTGAAATTATTGGTATCTAATAAGAATAAACTGCTTTGGGAATAAATTATAAATTTTATTTTTGATAATAAATTTCATTTCTCTGAACTAATTAAGGTATCATATTTCATATTAAAATAAATCTGGTATCACCCCTGTTAATTTTAGATATAATGACGAATTACACAGTCTTTGTCTTTTTGAGATCTTCCTGAGAAGAATAAACTCAAATTTGATATTCTGTACTCTGATATTACATTCTCCTTATTTTATTTCTGGTTATACAATCTGCTAATAGACTAAACATATATTAATTCAAACAGGATCAAACCCATTACAAAGCAAAACACATATAAATTATACAAATAATTGTAAATTAAAAAATACAAGTAATAATAAGAAAAGTTAAATTTATAATTAAATAAATGTCAAGTTTTAGATTAACAAATGCATTTTAAATAGTGTAAATCCGTTTGTAATATTTAATTTTTACTCCAGTGTGTTCGTACAGATTGCCTTAATTTTATTAAAAGAAATGCCTGTAACCTCAAGGTTTATAATAAATAAATAAATAAATTACCTTCCCAAAATTATTTTTTTTAAAGCTTGGGTGTGTTAGACATAGATGTTATTTGTTGAAAGTACTGAATAAGTTTAATACCTGATATATTTTGATTTTTTTTTTTGTTAGTGATGATATAATTTTGGTTCCACTGAAAATTACAGTGACAGTATTTTTTTTTTTTGAGTGTTTTATTCATTTTGTTTAACTATATTATATTGTTTTTGAACTTTTATATAAATATATTCATAGAGAAGTAGATAAAATGCATCAAGTATATAATCATTTAGTAATCAATTACAAATATTTAATAAAAAAATTAAAACTGTAAAAATATGTCAAATATGGATAGAATTAACTGTCAGTAGGACCAAAATTACATCACACTTTTATGGCATAATACATTTGTATTTGTACCTATTGGTATTTATAATGCCATTCAGTTTTTTAAATCAGACTTGTCTACGGAAGTTTGACACATTTTAGTGTATACATATTACTCATTCCAACGACCTGTCAAACAATAGCTGTCAATGGGAAGGGCTTGATTATAATGCAGAAGCAATTGCTTAATTTCTATTAATATCATCCTTTTTTGTTGAGGTAGGGTTCAATTACAATTAGAAGAACACAGCTGCATCATCAATTGGTGTAGTAATTTGTTGTCTATATCCAGCTACTGGCGGTTTAGGGGCATGTTAGTTAAGATATTTAGGCAACAAATTGTTCATTATTTTAAATATAAAAACCATTGGTCGTACATATAGCAGTTTTTCAACACTTAGCCAATTTAAAGTGTCTAACATAAACTGAATACTGATATATTTGTTACAACCTAGTATCACTCACATCCCTTTGTTTTGTAGGACCTGTAGTCTATCAAAATTGGAACATCCTGTATATATTAAAAAACAGCAATAGTAAAAGTGGGGTAAAATAAGTGTATTAGATACAGTCAATTTAGTTGAAATTGATAGATAGGTATGGTAAAAATACTATTTTTTTTTCCTACTTTTTTACAGATACACTCAATGTGTTTATTAAATTTTAGTTCTCTATCCAACATAACTTCTAAATACTTTACTTCTTGGACCATTTCTACTGTTTCGTTATTTATTTTAATGTCTCAGCAAAATCATCTGCATAGTAATAGATAAACGTGTCATCTGCAAAATGTTGTATTTTACATTTTTTAATTACCTGTCCCAAGTCATTTATATAGAGTATGAATAGTAAGGGTCCAAGCACGCTTCCCTGCGGCACCCCAAAAGTATTTTATGCTGGATTTGATACTTCATTATTAATTTTAGTTACTTGATATCTATTTAATAAGTAATTATACAACCAATCATAGACAGTTTCCCTAAATCCATATTTTTTTTTTTTAATTTTTTCTTATCTGAAACAACTAATTGTAAAGCTGACTAACAAGAATGTGCTTTTTTAAAGCCCAATAGTTATAAAATCCATGATTTGATTATACACAACTATTTATAAAAGTGTTTCACAAGATGGAAGCACATTTATGGGTCTCAACTGATCTGCCTTGTTTGTATTAGCTATTTTTGGTATTTGAATTATTGTTGATGTTTTAAATCTCTATGGAACAATACCCTTATCTAAACTAGTATTTATTAAATTAAATAATGAATAACCAAGTACATGAAATAGATTCTTAATGATATCAAAATCTATCTCATCTGTACTAGACTTTTTTTGAGTTTTAATTACTTCATACAAATTGCTTAGGGTTCTAAACTGATGATTCGTTGAAGGGAACTGTTTCCAAGCAAGCTTCAAAGTTATTATCACTTATATCAATAGTTAAAACAATATTCTGAATGCTACCCATGTAATATTGATTTAAAACATCAGCAAAACTCTCATTATATTCTGTCCCTTCACACACCAAACTAATAATGTAGTTTGTCGAATTTTTTGTTCCAACTATTTGTTTTTATCTATATTTAATAAAAATTACGTTTGGCTTCCCTCAACCTCCGACCACATTCATTTCTTTTTAGTTTATACTTCTTCCAATCATCTGCATCATTTGTAAATGTTTTGTAAGCTATATTTTTATCTTTAACAGCTTTTCTGCATTTATTGTAAAACCACTTATTATTTACATTATGTATTTAAATATATTTTGTAGGAGCTATAAAAACAATTACTGATAATACATTATCTAGAAAAATATCTGCTAGAACATCAATATCAACTACAGAATATCCCCAATTTCAATCAAGATGTTGACCATTTTATCATCTATATTAATATTTAAATTTTGACTTGTATACTGAAACGGTCTGATATTATGTAATTTTTTCCATGCAAGCTGTTAAAATGAAATCATTAGCTAACAGGAGGTCAATTGTTGACTTAGCATCCTTATATACTTTAGTAAATTCAGTAATTAGTTGTTTTATCCCATTATTTTCAATATATTTTTGGAGTTTTCTTTTTCTTAACAATTTTTATCAAAATGAATGTTGAAATATCCTGTTATAACTGCTATGTGTTTCTACATATTCATCCATTCATTCTGAAAGTCTTCTCTTCAACATTAGAGTCACAGAGCAGATACATTTTTCATAAAAGTAAATTTGGTAAACTGCTTTTAATTTACCATTTTGTGTTGCAGATAATAATTTGGATAATTTGCTTTATATACAGGGGGATGAACCCTTTACCTAAGGTGAAAATATTACAGGACCTTTGGCTGGTCTATTTTTGTCAATAAATTACTACCAGATTATAGTGCAATAACAGTATAACCTTTCATTTTTAAACATTACTTCTAGAGGTACCACAATTACAGAAAATCCTTTGGTATTTTTACAGCAAAATCAAAAATTTCTAATAATTAATTTATCTATATAATAAGAATTAAAATATAATCCAAATGCAAGTTATAATTTGTCTACAAAACTGGTTATAAACAGTAGGGATACACAAGACTATTGTCATGATATAAAAACTGATGTGGCAATGTTACATTTTTCGCTCTGTTGTTGGTGAAAAAGAATGTTGACAGTGCCAGTGTTATATGGTGGGTGATATTTGGCTTTCATAAGCAATCTTGATTTAAAAGACATACATATAAATATAGTTACATAGGTATAATAAAAAATCAGACAGTTTTAGTTTCAATGTAGGTATTTAAATTATCAAATGCTCTGGATTATCTTAAAATGTTTGAATCATCTGTAAATAGATTTAGGCTCAATATTCAAAATATATCAATGTAATTTTTAACTTTTAACATAATGTATATTTTTAAAAATCATAAAATAACAATAGGCTTTACAAAAATAAAATAAGACAAATATTGATTTGCTGGTTGGACACATTTACTTATTTATTGCATAATTATTGAAAAACTATAATTTTTTAATGAATTAAAATTAAATAATGTTAGTTACCTTTAATATATTTCATTCTCGGGATCTTATGCCAGTTATTCTTTTATTAGAATGCACCCATCAGGATCTACAATATATAAATAATTAATTATAATAATAAAAATATTTAGCCTTGTTCAAATTCAATATTGTTAAGATTTATTATACATACCGAAGTCTTAAAAAAACTCTTGAAGTACTTGAAGTTGATTCCTTATTCTTAAAATAAAAATTGACATTATATACTTTATATTTACAAATAATCACTTTTCCTTTATCAGCTTTTGCTATATTTTCAAATTTATATAATATTAAGTTTTCTAATACGCTGTTTTAGTTCTAAAATAGTTTAGTTATTGTTTATTTTATATTTTGTAGTGTAAAAACTCAATTTTAAGACACCACCTTATCTGTTATAACCTACAAATTTGACAACCACTCATCTGACATGAACTGACAAGTTTGAAAGCAAATTTTCTTTTGTTGCAAATTGATGATATCTCTTTCTCTCTTGCGCTCATTAGTTACAAATAAGATGTAACATTTAATTAAAAAATTGCAACATTTTAAATTTGGTACGTTTAATTATATTTTGATTAAACTAAATAAAAATAATTTTTTATATTTTTAGCTGAAACATTCAAATTCGTAAAATATGTACAGAATCGTAGGAAAGAGAAATTATGTTGGTACTATTAATACTTATCATTGTGACGGAAGTCAGCCATCTGCAAGAACCAATTGTATTTTTTATACGTTTTATCGAATGACGTTTGATCAAAAATATATTTTGTCGAATATTTGATCGAAGATTCGGATCGAAGATGTATTTTATCGAATAACATGTTATCGAGAAGACAATAGATCTAAAATTAGATAGATTTTAAGTATTATTATTTTCATAAAAAAACCTAAATAATTTACCTAACCTGTGCGGCCTAGAGCCGTCGTGGGTTGCTCCGCAAAAAAAATATAAAAAAAAAATGAAAAAAATTAACTAATTTACCTAACCTGTGCGACCTGGAGCCATTTAAATTTAACCAGATGCAGCTTAGAGCATTTTTGCAGTGTCATATTATTAGTAATGGTGTACATAAAAATATCGATGTAAAAAAATTGTGGATAACACCATTGTTGCAGAACACTTTCTAAATATTGTGCAAATAAATATTTTTTCTCTTTTCTTCCCTCTTATGACGGTACGTTACTGGAAACCGGAAACAATTCCGCCATATGCAAGGACCAATTTGATCACAGAAATTTTTTTACAGCTGTTCACTGTCAGGTGTCAGGTATTAACTGTCAATGTCAACTTTCAATTTGTTTATTATCTTTTGATGTGTTTGAGATATTTAAAATTATGTGAAAAATATTTTTAAAAATGTCCCAAGAAACTCCCTCTTTAAGCCAATACTTTGGTTCAAATGAAAATATAGAAGACACAATAGATTTTTCACAACAACTCAATGAAGCCGCGGGTCAAATTAATAATTTAAAAATAGAAGACAATCTCTCTATCAACAAAAGTGAACCAGAAGTGTGTAGAATATTTTCTGATACTCCTCCCATTCAAACAAAATATTCCACAGAAGCCTTTTTCGATTTAATTGGTAACAGTGTCCAAAATTCAGGGACAAAAGAAATCATTTCAAATTTAGGTTTGTCCTCAACAACCGAAGAAAGTTATAGCAGCTCCAGATTGATTATAGGTACTGAAGGAGATAGACGAAAGGATGCTTGGATTCCTAGTGAAAAGACAAGACAATGTTTAATTGCTGCTGCTACTGCCACACCAGGTACTTATTTTTCTCAGAGGGAAATGCTCACAATGCCTGGTGTTCTTCTTGAGGAAGAATTGGTAAGTATTAAGTATATTAAAGTGATCAAAATAACTTTTTCTTTGAGAATATAGATAACACAAAGTAAACTTATAAAAGGTTAATTGATACAAGCCTACCAGATGACAAAAGTGGGTACTAATTATGTACTATATCGTTCATTTGGAAGAAAAGGGTTACATCTCAAAAAACATTTATTTTGAGATTTCAAGGAGAATCTTACAGGGAAAAAGGGAACAAGTTAGCTTAACAGCACCAGAGAGCAGATGTAACTCTCTAGTTTTTAGCCTTACCAAATTATTTAAATTTGCTCTTTTGTAAAATTATTGTTTTTGAGATATAACCCTCTTTTTCCAAATGAACGATATGTATGAGGGGGAAAAAGATGTGCTATTTATATGGGTTAAGCTTCTGTCTGCTCAATTTTGTTTTTTTTTTATGGTAAAAACAGCATGCCTAAAGTAAATGTTGGCTTATTTCAGTGAAAACCATGATGAAATTTACTTAAAAGCCTGTTATGTTGTAGAAATTTAATTTACCTGTTATTATAAGCCATTTTGAATACTTTAGCCAGTTGACTTTGAATGCAGATGTTCCTATAGTTTGCATTGTCATTTACAGACCCTTTATTTTTATATATAGGAATGGATTTTGATTTTTTTAATATGCTAGGATAGTCACCACATAAAAAAGATTCGTTTATAAGGTAGGACATAGGTACACTAATGTCTTCAGCAATAAAAGACAATATTGTTTCATCTATTTCATCTATACTGGCAGATTTTTCACAAGTTGTTTTCTGTATAATTTCTGTTATTTACTTTGGGGTAGTTAGAGTTAAAAATAGAGTACTTATAGAAAAATCTTGAAGCCTTGCTTCACTATAATTTGGTAGAATATAATCTAAATCAGTATACTGATTATTACAAGCATTACATATATTTTGTGCACCACAAATTTTGTTGCCTTGACAATTTAGCATCTCAATGGGTAATTTTTTTAGTGATTTTCCTTTTGTTTCATTTACAATTCTCCAACATTCTTTTATTGAATTTTTTGCATTAATTACCCTTTTATTATTATAGGAAAGTTTTGCTGATTTGACTTTATTATCATTAACTATTTTGAGTTTTTTATATTTATCCCTAACAGTATCATTATTACTAGTTATGTATAAACTATGTAATTCACACAGCATCTCATGCAGTGCCTTTAGTTCTGCATTATAAAAATTATTTTAGTGTTGTTTAGTTTTAACTTTTTTTAACATAAACATATTGTTAAAATGGTACAAAAAAAGGTGTTAATACATATATTTTTTGTTTAAAAATAGAGAACTTAACAGCATTTGTTATTTTGTGTAATATAATATAGGGAGATGCTGTTGGTGAAGCTGTTACAATGTGCCTTGGAGAAGCAGAAGCAGCTCAAAGAAGAGTCTTAAATGCTAGTGATGTCACACAGGATGAAAGGGGCCTAAGAGAATTGGTACAAGCAGGTGCCTACAGAGCAGCTATTAATTTAACAGCGAGGCTTCTAACTATATATGGCCAAGGCAGAGGAAGAGCTGGCCATCCAAGTAAACATTCTCCTCATTCATTGCAATTATGGTTCACCCGTATTGCTCTTTTGGTCAAAACTAAGGCCTTTAATGTTGCCAGTGCTGAAGCAGAACCTTTTGGACATTTTGACAAACCAGATATGTATTTTCAGGTAATTTTTTTGGTAAATGTGTAGGTACATCATTTATTATTTTCAGGTAATTTTTTTTACATATATTTGGGGCTACTTTAAGCTCTATAAAAATAAAATAAATTAATGTCTCAACATCTTTACAAATACTTTTGGATGTAATTTGTTTTTATTTCTATTAAATTTATGTTCTATTTTACAATCTGTGTATCTATTTACAATTATATTCATCCAATGATTGTCTATCTCCTTTAATAACATTTATTTTCTCCATCCTATTGGTATTTTTATTTGCAAAATCTTTATTTCTTCAGCTATTTTTTCATTTATTATATTAGTTTCTGTTACCGAGATAACTACTTGTATTTTCTTTATCTCTTCTTGACTTTTATTCCCTTTTATTTTGGCTATTTCTTCTTGAATTCTCCACCTTTGTTATTCTGACTATCATTTCAATTGTTATCTCAGTCTTTATGTCTTCAATCCTTTTTTTGTGTATATTTTAACTCTTTTACATTTTGTTTGATTTCTTCTTTATCTTGTCTCAATTCTTGAATTTCTTCTTTTATATTATTCATCTTGTTACTCATTGCTTTCTCATTTTGTTTAATCTGTTCTTCCCTTATCTTCTTTTCCAATCCATCTATTTTCATTTACAAACATTGTAGATTTTTCTTCTACTGCTTGCCTAATATTTACTTTCTTGTTTATTAGTTTTATCCTGATATGTATGGAGGTCGACCAGGTTCCATGGCGTCTTTTTCATTTCGTTTACTATTAGCTGAATTACCGATGCATTGTAGTAAAGCTAAAGAATCGATAATGAGGCTATTTAATATCCTTGCAACTATTCGTAAGATTTTGGAAAATCTGAAACGTGGTCAATGCGAAGATGGGAACCCTATGGAACTTACCGAAAATGACAGAAGCGATTCGATGCGGCTGTGGACGGGACGAGAAGTTAGAGTGATACATTCTATAATAAATTGTGCTTTGGTAGTTAGGGACTATGAACTGGCTATGGACTTGTTAGGTCAACTTTGTGAGAGGTTTGTATGTTATATTACTATTTTTAATTAAACTAATAACCATCATTTTTGTAACAGACAAACTTCTGCTGCAGTTGAGTTAATTGAGGAATGTAGTTCTAAATTTACTAAAAGGAAAAAGATTAATTGATAAATATAAAAATAATTCATGACTAATGTGGAAGACTCTTAAAAAGTTAAAAAATACTATCAGTCAAAATTTTATTGAATTTAAATAATGAACGACAAATCGAACACAATGTTACTGAAATTGCAAGTAAATTTAATAAATAACGTTACTCAAATAGTTGATAGCATCTCGACTGAATTAACAGGAAGTTTTGTTGAATTATTTTTGAATCAGATTATTATCTTTATTTATTTAATTTTTAGTAGCATAAGGTTTATAATATACGTTTTATTTTCTGGGAAAAAAAGAAGTTGTTACAGTCTTAACGATCAAATTTTTATGTTTATAGAAATTTAATTATTTTATTACAGAGATGGAGCTCCACGACATGCTTTGTTGTCTGCGTTAGGCCGTCTACATTTGCAGATGGGAAATATATCTGGAGCGGAAGTTTGTTTCAAAGAAGCTAGCGAAATGATAGACGGCCCCCCTGCTGTAAGAGAACTTGTCGATAGAGGTCTTCTATCTATAGCCCAGAGTGCATTCGATGAAGCTTATATATCTTTTCAACAAGCTAGTCATTTGGAACCTTCTAATGTCATGGTAAGTTTTATTGGGGTTTTCCTATTGTAAATTGTTTGAAATACCATTTTTTAGATAATTTTTTATAAATAAATACTTGTGGCACTCGGGGACTGCCGCGGTAAAGCTATTGCATAGCATTTTTTATCAACTTATGCAATTATAATTATTTATTTATTTTATTTATGCGGTGTTTTTTTTTTCTTTGATATTAATTCAAGTTACACTTTTTGAGCGTGGTGACCTATAAGAAAACAATTTTTTTTCTTTTATTGAATAAATAAGAAGTTAATATTGTTTAAAATATTCTTATTATCTTACAATACATGTAAGTTATTGAGGAATTTTTTTCATTGAAACTATAGGTTTATGGTAACTGAAATAAGAAACATACGTTTGAGACTTGATATCCTCTAAATATCTGAAAAATACCGCGTCAATGGTGGTCCCATATTTTGTTGTGGATCATTATTCATTTTCAAATTCAATTTTTCCGAAATTGTGTCTAAAAGAGATAGAATCAGTTAGCAGCTAGTCTACACGCATACGTCTAGTCGCACGTACACAAACACCGTGCCGAAGTCTGCCGAATTGAAACGACGTTAGACGATGAACGGCTTTCAACGTCGCACCGCTTAGGTTTATTTTCGTTACGATTTTTTGATTTTTCGATTTCTTTTCGATTTTTTTTCGTTTTTTTTTTTTCAATTTTTTTTTTCGTTATTTTTTCGATTTTTTTTGCGATTTTTTTTTTTTTATTTTTAATTTTTTTCGATTTTTTTTCAATTTTTATCGATTTTTTTTGCGATTTTTTTTCCTTTTTTTTTTCGATTTTTTTTTCGATTTTTTTTTTACGATTTTTTTTTATTTTTTTTTGCGATTTTTTTTCGATTTTTTTTTCAATTTTTTTTTTTTTTCATTTTTTTCGATTTTTGTTCGATTTTTTTTCGATTTTTTTTTTTTCGATTTTTTTTTTTATTTTTGTTACGGAATCTGTTTCGATTTTTTGATTTTTCGATTTTTTTTTTTCGATTTCTTTTCGATTTTTTTCGTTTTTTTTTTTTTTCAATTTTTTTTTCGTTATTTTTTCGATTTTTTTTTTTTTCGATTTTTTTGCGATTTTTTTTTTTTTTTTCGATTTCTTTTCGATTTTTTTTTTTTTCGATTTTTTTTCGATTTTTTTCGATTTTTTTTTTTTTTCGATTTTTTTCAATTTTTATCGATTTTTTTTTCGATTTTTTTTCGATTTTTTTTTGCGATTTTTTTTCGATTTTTTTTTTTCAATTTTTTTTTTCCGATATTTTCTTTTTTTTTTTTCGATTTTTTTTTTTTTTCGATTTTTTCGATTTTTTTTCTTTTTTTTTTCAATTTTTTTTTTTCGATTTTTTTCGATTTTTTTTTTTTCGATTTCTTTTTGATTTTTTTCGATTTTTTTTTCAATTTTTTTTTTTCAATTTTTTTCGTTTTTTTTTGATTTTTTTCGATATTTTTTCGATTTTTTTTTATTTTATTTTTTTTTTCATTTTTTTTTTTTCGTTTTTTTTTTTCGTTTTTTTTTTTTCGTTTTCTTTTCGATTTTTTTTTTCCGTTTTTTTTCGATTTATTTTTTGGGATTTCTTTTCAATTTTTTTTTCATTTTTTTTTTTATTTTTTTTTTTCGATTTTTTTTCGATATTTTTTCGTTTTTTTTTGCGATTTTTTTTCCGTTTTTTTTTCGATTTTTTTTTCGATATTTTTGCGATTTTTTTTCGTTTTTTTTTTTTTCGATTTTTTTTTTTTGATTTTTTTTTTCGATTTTTTTCGATTTTTTTTAATTTTTTTCGATTTTTTTTTCGATATTTTTTCGATTTTTTTTTTCGATTTCTTTTAGATTTTTTTTTTCCTTTTTTTTTTTTCTATTTTTTTTAGTTTTTTTTTTCAATTTTTTTTTTCAATTTTTTTTTCGATATTTTTTCGGTTTTTTTTTTTCGATTTTTTTTGCGATTTTTTTTCGATTTTTTTTTTCGATTTTTTTTTTTCGATTTTTTTTTCGATATTTTTTCGATATTTTTTTGATTTTTTTTGCGATTTTTTTTCGATTTTTTTTTTCGATTTTTTTTTTTCGATTTTTTTTTTTCGATTTTTTTTTTTCGATTTTTTTTCGATTTTTTTCGATTTTTTTTTCTATTTTTTTTTTCGATTTTTTTTTTTTTTCGTTATTTTTCGATATTTTTTCGATTTTTTTTTTTTTTTTTTGCGATTTCTTTTCAATTTTTTTTTTCTATTTTTTTTTTTTTCATTTTTCGATTTTTTTTTTTTCGATTTCTTTTCGATTTTTTTTTCCGATTTTTTTCGATTTTTTTTAGTTTTTTTTTTTCAATTTTTTTTTTCGATTTTTTTTCGATTTTTTTTCGATTTTTTTTTGCGATTTTTTTTCGATTTTTTTTTTTTTCAATTTTTTTTTCCGATATTTTCTTTTTTTTTTTTTTCGATTTTTTTTTTTTTCGATTTTTTCGATTTTTTTTCTTTTTTTTTTCAATTTTTTTTTTTCGATTTTTTTCGATTTTTTTTTTTTTCGATTTCTTTTTGATTTTTTTTTCAATTTTTTTTTTTCAATTTTTTTCGTTTTTTTTTGATTTTTTTCGATATTTTTTCGATTTTTTTTTATTTTATTTTTTTTTTTCGTTTTTTTTTTTCGTTTTTTTTTTTTCGATTTCTTTTCGATTTTTTTTTCCGTTTTTTTTCGATTTATTTTTTGGGATTTCTTTTCAATTTTTTTTTCATTTTTTTTTTTATTTTTTTTTTTTCGATTTTTTTTCGATATTTTTTCGTTTTTTTTTGCGATTTTTTTTCCGTTTTTTTTTCGATTTTTTTTTCGATATTTTTGCGATTTTTTTTCGTTTTTTTTTTTTTCGATTTTTTTTTTTTGATTTTTTTTTTCGATTTTTTTCGATTTTTTTTAATTTTTTTCGATTTTTTTTTCGATATTTTTTCGATTTTTTTTTTCGATTTCTTTTAGATTTTTTTTTCCTTTTTTTTTTTCTATTTTTTTTAGTTTTTTTTTTCAATTTTTTTTTTCGATTTTTTTTTCGATATTTTTTCGGTTTTTTTTTTTTCGATTTTTTTTGCGATTTTTTTTCGATTTTTTTTTTCGATTTTTTTTTTTCGATTTTTTTTTCGATATTTTTTCGATATTTTTTTGATTTTTTTTGCGATTTTTTTTCGATTTTTTTTTTCGATTTTTTTTTTCGATTTTTTTTTTTCGATTTTTTTTCGATTTTTTTCGATTTTTTTTTCTATTTTTTTTTTCGATTTTTTTTTTTTTTCGTTATTTTTCGATATTTTTTCGATTTTTTTTTTATTTTTTTTTTGCGATTTCTTTTCAATTTTTTTTTTCTATTTTTTTTTTTTTCATTTTTCGATTTTTTTTTTTCGATTTCTTTTCGATTTTTTTTTCCGATTTTTTTCGATTTTTTTTAGTTTTTTTTTTTCAATTTTTTTTTTCGATTTTTTTTCGATATTTTTTCGTTTTTTTTTTTTTCGATTTTTTTTGCGATTTTTTTTCGATTTCTTTTCGATTTTTTTTTTTTCAATTTTTTTTTTTCGATTTTTTTTTCGATTTTTTTTTTTTTTTCGATTTTTTTTTTTCGATTTTTTTTTTCGATTGTTTTCGATATTTTTTCGATTTTTTTTTTTTGATTTTTTTTTTTCGATATTTTTTCGATTTTTTTTTTTTTATTTTTTTTCGATTTTTTTTTTTCAATTTTTTTTTTTTTCATTTTTTTCGATTTTTTTTCGATTTGTTTTTTCGATTTTTGTTCGATTTTTGTTCGATTTTTTTTTTCGATTTTTGTTCGATTTTTTTTTTTTCGTTTTTTTTTCGTTTTTTTTTTTTCAATTTTTTTTCGATTTTTTTTTTGATTTTTCTATTTCTCCATTTCCATTTTTTCATTTTTCTATTTTTCCATTTTTTTCATTTTTCCATTTTTTTTTATTGAATAAACGAGAAATTAATATTTAACGCCGCCGCACCGCTGTGTCGGTCGAAGTGGGGGGTGTTAGGTTTATTTTCGTTACGGTCGTTACGGAATTTCTTGATTCGGTCGCCGCACTCAAAACCCGCGATAAAAGCTATGCAATAGCTTAAATTTTTTTCTAGGTTTAGTCCGTCAATCTTTTTATTTTCAAACGTTTAAGCACTACATATGTTTCGGAAATTAATTTTTCCGTCTTTTTGTACAGTCAAAAGTTAAAATTAAAAAAAAAACAAGGGGACAATTACAACAGTTTAAATTTTTTTTTTTTTAAATAGCCAAATCCCATCTTTTCCTTTCATCTTTTGAAGGTGTATTCTTTTTTAGATTCTGAATAATATGGGAGTATGCCTTTTGTACGGCGGTCATTTAAAAGAAGCCATACAAGTATTGGAGTCAGCTATTGCCGCAAATCCTGTACACGCCTTGAATGAATCGTTGCTTTTAAATCTATGTACTTTGTACGATATGGAATCGTCGAAAGGACGTATGAAAAAATTCGCGTTATTGAGACAAATTTCCAGGTACCAAGCAGACGCACCGACTATGATTTTGGAAAAATTATATGGCTGATCGGAATCTATATTTTGGTGTTTTCTGTAATGATTCGTCGACAAACGCCCAATGATATTAAAGTGCACTTTATTTTAATATGAGTGAAATCACATAAAAAAAATAGGTATTATTGGTAAGATACTAGTCATAAATACATACAGTGTGTGTCCAGTTAAGTTCGCAGCATATTGGAACTTTTTTATTATTAACTTTATGAAAAAAAATGCAAATTTTTACAATAGTTTACGAGATATGTCAAATAATATGAATGTATTTTTATTTTTGAAAAACCTCGTATACTATTGTAAAAATTTGATTTATGATGGTTACATTTTAGGTTTCGGACTATGCAGAACTTTTTATGAAGAATAACTTTTATTCGTAAAGTTAATAATAAAAAAGATTTCCATATGTTGCGAACTTAAATGGACAATACTGTATATTATGTATATTTTTTAATAAACAAATAATTTTTGGTAATACCAGAATTATTTAATAATTATAGACGAATTTTTCATAGTTGTACATGTAATATTGTGAAAATATAATTAAGGACAAAATTGTTTTACACATTGTGGAAATATTTTCAATGCATATTTTATTATTCACAAATAATAATTATAACTTTTATTTAGAATTATTAAAAAGTAGGTATAAATAAAGTTTTGTTCCTTCTAATTATTGTTTATACATTTTAATATCTTATACATGGTGTTTTATAAATAATGACCAATATTTTAATAAAAGATTCTAGACCTAAAAATATTATATTTTGCTAAATAACTCTGGGTCAAATGTTTTCGACTGCTTGAGATACAACGTATTAAAACTAAAATATATTTTTCGTTTTTTTTTTTGTATTATTTTGTTTTTATTATTTTGCCTTGCGCCGTATGCCAATTTAAAAACCAGTTTGTTTATTGGTCTCTTGTAAACTAAAGTTTACATGTATCTCAACAAGAAACAATCACAAGGATTTAAGTTTGGTGACCTGGCTGCCCACTAATCCATTCTTCGGAAAAGTAATGTCTGAAAACTCGTCTAAAATGGGCAAGTGTCCCATCGTGCAGAAGCCACATATATGTCCAGACAGTGGCGGCTCGTGGCTTAGCAAATAGAGCTACGGATTAATATTTTCGGGTGCCTAGCTCAGATTTTGACTCGAAGTCGTTAAAAAGCATATCTTGGGTAATATTTTCAAATATATTAACGTGCACATTTCTCATTTTTACAAAATAATAACATAAAAAACTTACCAGAATTTAGCTTTGAATAGTAATTTATTGCATTCCAAACCTATACAGTAAAATAAAGAATATTTTACACTGAACGATATTTGAAGTCTAGTCTTCATTCTATTTTATTAGCGAAAAGGTAAATCACTCATCTATTAACACGTTGACTGCCATGAGAAGCACGTGTGCTTCACAGACCTTTAATTTACCTATGCCGTGAGAAGCATCGTTGCTTCTCAAGCTTGGATAAAATATCGGCGTGTGTGGTACAACACTGCTTCTCGGTAGCGGTATAAGCTTATGGGGTATGTTTTTTGGTGGCCTGGGGAACTATTTTATGCATTTAGCCCGTGCTTTTTTCGGACCTATGTCAAGTAAAACAACTAATTATTCTGTATGACATTTGTTGTAGATTATTATAAAGTCATTACAAAAACAACAAAACCTAAAAGACGCTTTTTTTATAAGAATAATTGAAAAAATTAAAAAATGAAATTCTAAAAACACGTAATGTAGTAAAATTTGTCACACTGAATGCACCTGAAGCGAGAAAAAGGCTTTTGTGCAAATTTTCGCCCATTTTCAGAGGAAAATCTTCTGCGGGCTGTAGAGTGAACTTCTTCTAAATGATGACCATCGCGAGTGCGTGATCTAGGCGTATCAATATTTTAAAGCTTAGGAAGATCTAGGAAATTGCTGACTAACTCCTCTTTGAAGAAAATGATAAATATTTTCTGGTTGGTGATTGTTTGATGCATTATATAGGAGTTCACTGAAGTGATTATTTAATTACAATAACTTCGAATTAAATTATCTTTATTTTAAGTTATGACAACTATCACAAAAACTAATGACAGTCCTTTACTCCCTAGAAGTCTATCCTTTTCGTAGTAGGTATGTGGTATCTACAATATCACCAAACTATTCCCAGACAGCACACCAAATCCTTTGGATATCTACTGAACATCCCAATATCCACTGAATGTCCAGTCCATGGTGGATATCTATTTTATATCCATGAAATGTAATTTATAGACATGCAAATGTCCATAAATAATTGTAATTATATAGCAAATTATTAAAAAATTACGCCATTGTACTCGCCATTGTGGCTAATAGTACCGTTGAGATATTTAAAATTAATTTTTTTTAAGGTGTATTCAATATCCCATGGACATCCACTATAAATATATCAAAGTCTAAGCGCGGACGCAAACCATCGTGGATATCTACTAGATGTAATTTTTGATTTTGCTTCCTAAGTATAGATGGCGATACCACTTTCGTATCTACTCATGCTTAACCCGCCGTAATTGAGTTTGATCGACATTGTTTCACAAACAGACTTCATTAGAGACTGAAGTCAAGAAGTTCCATTTATTGCTGAAGATTCCTATAGAGAAAGTAAAAGTTGAAAAGTCTTTTGGTAGGTAGAGAGGGGGTAAACGTCAAACCACGTCGGGCGGCTCCGAGAATTTTACAGTAATGTTTACCTGCCAGTGTCGTTTCATAGAATAAGTAATTTTAAATTGTTATCGGCGGAACCGGACAATCGCATGTACTTATGGATTATAAATAATTATTAAACATGTATTATAATATTCAAATTATAATTTTACAAAATTTCAACAGCTATTCACAATTTATTAAACTATTTACTCGAAATTGTTATTAAAATCTATAAAATAGTTTTGTACGCCAATGTATCGCGTCCAGTTCGGTGAGATCCGGTGCCAACCTGTCAATTTATGTGTATAAAGTGGGAGAACTGGCAAAAGCATTTCCAACTTTTACTTCTGTTCTAATAAGGATGATTTTCTCCTTAGTAGGCAAAATCAAAGACAGATTGTTGGGAATATTTTTTACCTCTATTTTCTTTCGACGTTATTCAATAACCATTGGTTACTTATGAACCTCTACTAAAAATAATTATAAAATATTTATCTGAATTTCTGTATCCTGGGATATAGACGGACATTTGGTTGGATATCCACAAAATATATTCTATGGATATATCTAGGATTTCTTGTATTGTCTGGAGATACTCATTAGATATTTTGCTGAATATCCATAGGATATCTTCTATATTCTGGATATAGACGGATTTGGATATCTATATTAGTTCCACGGAATATTTCTGATATCCTGTGGATATATTGGATATCCACAAAATATATTCTGTGGATATCTCTGGGATTTGGTGTGTTGTCTGGGTTGCTGATCCCAAAATAAGTTCAATTGCTATCTTGCGATACTATTTCATAGACTTTCTTAATGCAGTTGAGTAGGACTTCATTTTTTAATAACAAATAATTTTAGGTAATACCAGAATTATTTACTTATAAACGAATTTTGCATAGTTATTATACGTATAATATTGTGAAAATATAGTTAAGGACAAAATTGTTTTACACATTGTGGAAATATTCACAAATAATGATTACAACTTTCATTTAAAATGGGTATAAATAAAGTTACGATATTTTATTTCTTTTAATTATTGTCTATACATTTTAATATCTTATATAGGGTGTTTCATAAGTAATGACCATTATTTTAATCAAAGATTGTGGACCTAAAAATATTAAATTTTGCTAAATAACTCTGGGTTAAATGTTTTCGACTACTTGAGATATAACATATTAAAGCTTAAAGCTAAAATATATTTTTCGTTTTTTTTTTGTATTTTGTTTTTATTATTTTGCCTTGCACTGTACACCAACCGGAAACCCCGTTTGTTTATTGGTTTCTTGTAAACTAAAGTTTTTATGTAGCCCCACAAGAATGTAGATTTGGTGACATCCGTTGCCACGCAACTTCCATTTTGACTAATCCACCTCTTCGGGAAAGTAATGTCCAAAAAATCTCGCATTTTCTGTCTAAAATGTCCTTATATGTCCTGATATGATGATTCGGTAAAAAATGGAAATTAGTTTTTGACCGTCAAACGGTCCGATAAGATGTACGGCCCAATAAGTAACCCGTTTGCAATTCCTGACCACATATTTACAGAAAATTGGTATTGAAAATTGTTTATTTGAATTTCATGGGAATTATTGACAGACCAAAAATGCGTATTTCAGAAATTGTTAAGGGGGGGAGGTAAGGTTAATTCGTGCAGAAAAAGGCACATTTTTGTGAATTTTTTTTGACGTCACAGTTAAAATCAGTTTAAACTAATGGTACATTAAAGTATAACATTCAAAGAATATTGTGTCAAATTTTCATGTTGAAATATTAAAAAATACAGAAATGGCAGCAATTATGAAGCGTCTCGGAAAAAAGTGAAATTGCTGTGTCCCTCCTAACTCGGTGCTGGATCATCAGAAATAAAAAAATCTGATGTGTTCAACACATGACTTTCCTATCTAGTTATTATAGGCATTTTCCGGTTATTTTGTACAACCTATTGCAGCATCTCTATAAATGTTTAGAGGATAAACTAAATATATACATTTTCCACATACATCTACCTCGAAACATTTTTCTATAGATATTCATTGAAAACGAAAATACAGAAAAATTTAAATTTAGCACTTTTCCATTTTAGAAAAATCATGTATAAACAAAAATTATAGAAATCGATATCGCAAACAACTTTTAGTTCAACAATTTTCATAAAAATCAGAATTTTGCACATTTTGTCAAATTACTCGAATACGGACCATTTCAGGAAATTTTGACATAAAGCAAAAATTATAGATAAAAATATTAGAAGTAACTTTTATTTGAACAATTTTCTTCTCCAAACATAAATAACAGATATATTCCATAAAATATAAAAACGGCCTCCCATAAAGTACCCCCCCAGATGTTCCGACTTTGTCCAAAATCTAATCTTTTCACGTCAGGCCGAAATAAACCTTAAGTTTAAAATTTAATGTTTTTTCCTTTATCCGTTTTTGAGTTTTCATCAAATTTCGAAATTTACACATTTTCTCAAATATCTCGAATACGGTCCATTTTAGAGAAATTTTGCATAAAACAAAAATTATAGATAATTATATTAGAAGTAACTTTTATTTGAAAAAGTTTCTTCTCCAAACGTAAATAACAGATATATTCCATAAAATATAAAAATGACCACCTATAAAGTACCCCCCCAGATGTTCCGACTCTGCCCAAAATCTAATCAGCTCATTGGACGCTGAAACAAAGCTTAAGTTTAAAATTTGGTGTTTTTCTGTGTATCGGCTCATGAGTTATGCGTTATACAGACACACACACACAGACATCATCGCGAAAATAGTCAAAACGGATTCAGGGGACCTCAAAACGTAAAAATCCGTCGAAAACTCGAGGCCGAAAAAAAATCATGATTCCTATACTTTCCTTATATCTGTATACAGATAGGAAAGTAAAAATCAAAGTTCTCTCGTTAGATAATCGTTTTCACCAGGTAACGCTGGGAGGGTTTTTCGAAATTTCAACACTTTGAAGTAAAAAAACGCGATTCTTGCGAAAAAAATAGGCTAATTTGTTATTATAAAAAAAATATATTAACAAATTTGAAGAAAAAAACTCTCCAGCGTTACCTCGTAAATTATGTACAGAAATAGCGTTCAAAATTTTAAAAGGATAGGTGCAGTTGTGGGAAAACGCTTTGAAGTTTTGAACACTATAAAAATTGGAATAAAACGTTCATAAGTTAGTTTTATCGGCTTATCTTACACTGAATCATTGATGCCAGGTCCATAAAGGATGTAGCTATCATTCATGATGTCTAAAGCAACTTTTTGCTCCTGTCTTTGACGAATCCTCATTCATGAGCACTTGATTCACTACTGATTCCTATGTCTTGCATGTAGGTTAGTAAAGCCAAAGAACATGCCAGACCAATGCTACACTAAATTATATATAGTACATATATAAACACATTTGTACTTGTGTTAAAATTTCTATAAAGAAAGGTAGGAGGTAAAGTTACCCAAACACACCAAATCCCAGAGATATCCACAGAATATCTTTTGTGGATATCCAATATATCAGAAATATTCCGTGAATCTAATATGGATATCCAAATGTCCGTCTATATCCAGAATATAGAATATATTCTATGGATTATCCAGCAAAATATCTAATGGGTATCTTCCAGACAATACGAGAAATCCCAGAGATATCCACAGAATATATTTTGTGGATATCCAACCAAATGTCCGTCTATATCCCAGGATATAGAAGAATTCAGATATCCAGCAAAATATTTTATGGGTATTTTTAGTAGAGGTTCATAAAAGTAACTAATGTTTATTGAATAACGCCGAAAGAAAATAGCAGAGAAAAAATATTTTCAACACTCTGCCTTTGATTTTGCCCACTAAGGAGAAAGTCATCCTTATTTGGATTCTTCAGCAATAAATGGAAATTCTCGACTCCAGTCTCTAATGGAGTCTGATTGGAAAACAAATTTCGATCGAACTCAATAAGGGCGGGTTAAGCATGAGTAGATGCGAAAGTGGTATCGCCATCTATACTTAGTAATCAAAATCAAAAATTGCAAACAGTGGATATCCACGATGGTTTGCGTTCACGCCTAGGCTTTATTATTTAGTGGATGTCCATGGGATATTGAATAGACCTTAAAAAATTAATTTTAAATATCTGAACGGTACTATTAGCCACAATGGCGTAATTTTTTAATAATTTGCTATATAATTACTATTATTTATAGACATTTGCATGTCTATAAATTACATCTCATGGATATAAAATAGATATTCACCATGGACTGGACATTCAGTGGATATTGGGATGTCCAATAGATATCAAAGGACTTGGTGTGCTGTCTGGGTGGGCAATAAAGGCTATTATTATTATTATTATTAGATGTAGCTGTCACCTTCTGGATTAACACATCCTTATTAGATACATACAATTATAAATTGTTTAAAAAACATGTTTAAAACAAAAAAAAATATTTTTTTGCAACCCTGCTTTAAATGTTTTTATGTACCTATGTATATAACATTCTATTTTATTATATTTTATCGCCAACCTTCAATAAAGCCATGCATTACCATAGCGATTTGCGAAAGTAAATAAACACTGTAAAAATTTGTTTTGTATTCACTTTTTTTTTGTTTGTTTACTTTGTCATATTAGCGACTATATTTGATATTCTATGTAGACCAAATAATGTTTCTTACTGGTTGCATACGTTATTTATTTGTCGTATTAAAGTATACATTTTTTAAATAGGAAATGAACTAGTAAATACAATGAAGACTAGTTATGTTATTTATGAAATAAGCAAAGATGAAAGTAAAAAATTAATTTATTTAATAAAACTTTAATAATAGATCCTATATTTTTATGTACATAATAAGTATTATTCATTCTACATTTTTTTTGTAAACCAAAATAATGATTCCATAAAAAACTATTTCATTTACCATCAAAGCTATCTTTTAAATAAAAAATATGCTATTACCAAATAATGAAAGAAGTTATACAAAATCTAAAATAATTTACATTTGATTGGTATCAATATTAAAAATTTGCACTAGTAATAAATATTATTCTATATTTTCAAACTTCATGCCCTTGGCTTTTTGGGTAATGAACCAAACGCAGAAATTACTGTCCCTTTGGTACCAGTCGAAGAAGTTGTTAGGGATGGCTGTACCAACCCAGCAGGTTTCATGTTTTGAGGTGCACCACTCCCACCGCCAGGCTGGTCCCATTTGCTTTTTCTCTTCTTATCATCTTCATTCTTTTTTGTTCCAGAAACAAATTCAACTTTTCCTTTTCTTTCTTTTTCTCTCTTGTCCATTTCAGCTTTTTGTACTTTTGCTAATTCTTCATAGTAAGATTCCTTATTCCATTTCAGAGGGTCATACATTGAAGGAGGGTAGTTTGTTCCTAAAACAAATTTAACTTTATCAAGGAATTAAATAGTAAAAATACATTTTTTCAGGAATTACATCTGGTCCATGGCTTAATTTATCGATAATATACCATTAAAAACTTCTTGTAATGAAAACTTGATAGGAGGAATATTATTAACAAAGAAATTGGTCGAAATAAAACAAATACAAAGCCAGAAAATTGAACTCCTGAAGATCTTAATAATTTTTTTATTAATAATGTGGAAAACATAATTCAGAATCTAGAGAAACCTGCTACTTCCTTTATAAATATACCACAATTAAAAAATTTAATGTTTTTTCAGCCAATTACCCAAACCGATATAGAATCAATCAATTGTAAAAGATTTAAAAAATAAAAGAACATAGGATATTGATGGATTTAATGTTTAATGCTTGTCTAACTGAAGGAATATTTCCTGATAGCATGAAAATTGCTAAGGTCTGTCCTCTATTTAAAAAAGGAGACCCTTCTCAGCCTTGCAATTCCAAACAAATTGCTATACTTCTCCAAAATCTATTATATATAATAATCTAATATCATATTTAAATTCTTCCAACATACTCATGCTATTCCAGTATGGTTTTAGAAGGGGGCAATCTACAATAGATGCAGTATTCTCTCTAGTACAATATATAGAAAATTGTTTTGAAAAAGCTGAAAACTACTTTTGACTGTGTGGATTATTCAATTCTATTATCAAAACTAAATTTTGTTAAACATACAAACTAATACAGAAAACAAGACTTACCTAATTCATTTAAATCACAAAACTGAATCAATTTTTCATAAATACTAGGATTCCTAAAATCTTTTCTCTTTTGAATAACAGCATTCATATCCATTTGTTGTGTTGACATTTTTTCATATAACTTTGTAATTTTATCTTGTAATTCTATGGAGCAGTGACCAGGTGGTTCTGGAGGAATCATACTTTCCTCATCTACAATACCTTGATCTGATGGAGTCTCATTTTCACCCATAATTATTACTTCGTGAGGTACATCTGATGGGTCTTCTTCATCAGATACAAAAGTGTCGTCTTGATATGATACTAGTTTTGCTACTTTTGATGTAACTTTTACCGGAGCTGGACTGGCAGGTTGTGAAGATCCATTGGATTTGTTGTCCGATGCAGAGTTAATTGGTGAGGAGTCCATTGTAACGTCTTGATCGTTAATATTGTCGTCTTGATCTTCATTGCCGTCTTCTTCCCCTTCAGAATCCGTGTAAGTAGCGGTCAATGATGCTAAAGCAGAAGTCATGTTCTTTAATTTAGATAAACTTAAATCTAATGGAAATTAACAATTTTAAATATTTTATAAAGTTTGGTATTTTGTTTGTTATTTATTTTTAAAACAAAATGTGTCATGTGTCGCTTTGCGAGTGACAAATGACACATGTCATATAACATACTTAGCTAGTTTTTAGCGTTCACTCACACTGTTGACAGCACTGGTCTTGTATACGGTAGGTTCTTTCGTTCGCTGTTGGTGCAGTGTCCACCAGTGTAAATTACACCAGTTACACCACCTTATTTACCTTAGTTTACTTCCCTCCTTATTCCTTATACTCATTTCGAGTGTAATTCACGCCTGCTAAATAGCTGGTGGAGAAAATATTCACCAGTGGACACCACATCGCCGACAGGAAGGTTTAGTGGATTTTACACCGGGCCGAACGAAAGGTTTAGTGTACGTTGGTGTAGTTCATTCCTACACCAGTGGGACGAACGAAAGAACCTGGTTTTAAAGAAATGTACCGCACAAAGGTACTCACGGTACTTATGTAGAATACATATGTAAAATACGAAATTAGGATACTTTAAAATCGGTAATTATTATTTTTTGCCAAGGTTGACGTTTTTGGCATTCTATAAATCTTAGAACATATTCTAAGGGATACTTAGAGTAGATAAATATTATTTTTTGCCTAGGTTAACGATTTTTGCATTCTATAAATCAATCTTATTAATTACGTCATTATTAACTGATTTTTTTTTTCAACACGAAAATGTGCACGGTTAATGACAATTGACTGATAGACGTGTGACTGACTGATGACAGATGACATAGGAAAAAAAAATTAAAAATAAATTTAAATTTATGTTATTTGAATATTTGCTAGAGATAAATAAAAAATATGATCGAAGATATTTACTGATGAGCAATAAAAAGATCAAGAAATAAACTTAATCATGGTGGAAGAAGTTACGAACACTAGTACTAATACAAAGGTAATAATTAATGTTAACAGATTTATTTCTATTTTTCTTTTTTACTTTATTTTTCTTAGGTGAAAGCTACTAATAACAAACCAAAATCTGTTTATTCCTGGAACGTTGTTGATGTACAGAAATGGTTGCGAAGACACTGTAGTGATTACTATCAACTTTATGTTGAAAACTTTACCCAGCATGATATTACTGGCCGTTCTCTCTTAAGAATAAACGATAATTCACTTCTAAGACTTGGTATAACGAATGATATTCACCGCGAAGCAATATGGAGACAAATTTTGAAACTCCGTCTTAAGACTGACATAGTAGAAATTAGAGATTTACAAAGACGTAATATAAATAATTTGTATTATGATAACGCTTTAGTTTAATTTTAAGTACTCATTGTTTTGATTATTAGCTTTAAAGTGGTTCATTATCTGGTTTATAGTTATGTTACATGTTAATAAAAAAAATCTGATGTGTCCAACACATGACTTTCCTATCTAGTTATTATAGGCTTTTTCAGGTTATTTTGTACAACCTATTGCAGCACCTCTATAAATGTTTAGAGGATAAAATAAATATATACATTTTCCACATAGGTACATCTACCTAAAGACATTTTTCTGTAGATATTGAAAACGAAAATACTGAAAAATTTAAATTTAGCGCTTTTCCTACAATTTTTCCATTACAGTCCATTTTAGAAAAATCATATAAAAACAAAAATTGTAGAGATCGATATTGCAAACAACTTTTAGTTCAACAATTTTCATAAAAATCAGAATTTTGCACATTTTGTCAAATTTCTCGAATACGGACCATTTTAGGAAAATTTTGTATAGAACAAAAATTATAGATAATTATATTAGAAGTAACTTTTATTTGAAGAATTTTCTTCTCCAAACATAAATAACGGATATATTCCATAAAATATAAAAACGGCCTCCCATAAAGTACCCCCCCAGATGTTCCGACTTTGTCCAAAATCTAATCATTTCACGTCAGACCGAAATAAAACTTAAGTTTAAAATTTAATGTTTTTTTCTTTATCCGTTTTTGAGTTTTCTTCAAAATTCGAAATTTACACATTTTCTCAAATATCTCGAATACGGTCCATTTTAGAGAAATTATGTATAGGATAAAAATTATAGAGAATTATATTACAAACAACTTTTATTTGAACAATTTTTATAAAAAATGATTTTTTTTACATTTTGTCAAATTTTTCGAATACGGACCATTTTAGGAAAATTTTGTATAGAACAAAAATTATAGATAATAATATTAGAAGTAACTTTTATTTGAAGAATTTTCTTCTCCAAACGTAAATAACATATAATCCATAAAATATAAAAATGACCACCTATAAAATACCCCCCAGATGTTCCGACTCTGCCCAAAATCTAATCATTTAATGTCAGACCGAAATAAAACTTAAGTTTAAAATTTAATGTTTTTTTCTTTATCCGTTTTTGAGTTTTCTTCAAAATTCGAAATTTACACATTTTCTCAAATATCTCGAATACGGTCCATTTTAGAAAAATTATGTATAGGATAAAAATTATAGAGAATTATATTACAAACAACTTTTATTTGAACAATTTTTATAAAAAATGATTTTTTTTTACATTTTGTCAAATTTTTCGAATACGGACCATTTTAGGAAAATTTTGTATAGAACAAAAATTATAGATAATAATATTAGAAGTAACTTTTATTTGAAGAATTTTCTTCTCCAAACGTAAATAACATATAATCCATAAAATATAAAAATGACCACCTATAAAATACCCCCCAGATGTTCCGACTCTGCCCAAAATCTAATCATTTAATGTCAGACCGAAATAAAACTTAAGTTTAAAATTTAATGTTTTTTTCTTTATCCGTTTTTGAGTTTTCTTCAAAATTCGAAATTTACACATTTTCTCAAATATCTCGAATACAGTCCATTTTAGAGAAATTATGTATGGGATAAAAATTATAGAGAATTATATTACTAACAACTTTTATTTGAACAATTTTTATAAAAAATGATTTTTTTTACATTTTGTCAAATTTTTCGAATACGGATCATTTTTGGAAAATTTTGTATAGAACAAAAATTATAGATAATAATATTAGAAGTAACTTTTATTTGAAGACTTTTCTTCTCCAAACATAATTAACAGATATATTACATAAAATATAAAAACGGCCTCCTATAAATTACCCCCCCCCCCCCAGATGTTCTGACTTTGTCCAAAATCTAATCAGTTCATTGGGTGCTGGAATAAAGCTTAAGTTTAAAATTTGGTGTTTTTCTGTGCTGTAGGGCCGCTGAGAGCCAGGCCGGGCCCCAGGACAATTCTCTAGATCGAGCCCCGCGACTATTTTATTCTCTCCTCTTTGCTTAAATTTCTCTAAAAAAAAAGCTCTTCAACTAAAAACTTTTCCTTCTCTACTTGAATTGAATTTAGAATTTACTAAAAAAAAAAAAACCAAATGCTTCCCCCTCTTGTCTTGTGACGAACTTCTCAAAGAAAACAAAAATCCTCGCCACGGTTGCCGGGCCCCCCTTATACCACTGCCGGGTCCCCATTTGAGTCCGGGAATTAGTCCCGGCTGCCCCCCTCTAGTCGGCCCTGTTTCTGTGTATTGATTCATGAGTTATGGTGGATACAGACAGACATCATCGCGAAAATAGTCAAAACGGATTCAGGGGACCTCAAAACGTAAAAATCCGTCGAAAACTCGAGGTCGAAAAAAATCATGATTCCTATACTTTCCTTATATCTGTATACAGAAAGTGCATGGTGTGAATTATTAGAACACTGTATTATTTGGTCTTTTTTATGAGTTTATTTCCTTGTAGTCTTAGACACGACATAAGATCAACCTTCGCCCATCTGCTTACTAGATGAAAGTTTTTTTTTATTGAATAAAATATGTTTATAAATATACCACAAATGGATTATTTGGTATTTTAATATGTTTTTGAGTTATCTTAAATATTCGAAATTTACATTTTGTCTCAAATATCTCGAATACGTTCCATTTTAAGGAAATCATGTATAGAGAATGACATAACAAGTAATTTTTATCATGATTCCTAGACTTTTCTTATCGGTTACCATTTTTTCTGGCTAGACGTCCTCCATTTTTAACTTAAATTGGGGGAAGAGGGTTCTTTGCAAAGGATTCTTCGCTGGACCCCGCTTCAGCACCTTTCATGGTGGAAGGTGCACCATTTTTCCAAATGCAAGTTTGGGTTTTGCTCCTCAAGTCACTTGGGCACAACCTCGTCATCAAGGCCAGCTTGCGCTTCCATTGGGATCCAGAGAGAGGCTTAAGTGAGCTTGGGGAGCTCGTCCATTCTTACAAAAACGAGTGTTGCTAATTCCCATGTTTTTAAGATTGGTACCTTGGTCCAAGACCTGAATGTGGGTGGCTTGATTTTGCTGCAGAAGATGGACAAAATTGTTTTGTCCAGCTCTTCTACCAGTGTCTTTTTGACAAAGATTTGTCTTTCGGTAGTTATCTTACCATAAGGGTTATCCTTGTCTATTATAGCTTCTTTCAGGTGGTTAATAGCTGCATCTTTGTAGCTTACCCCAGACAGAATTGTGTGGTTCTGTCTGGGTTTTTTCCCCTTTCTGTGCGTTGTCCGGAAGAGGTGTCAGATCGCGGCCTTTTCTTGTCCTCTAATTGCGTCGTGTTCCAAGCCTCTTGTGGAAGCAGAACCAGCATTTACAGTGGGTTGCGGTTGCCGAATCACTACCTGCTTGCAGCTAATCTCTCTTCCTCCTCTTTGCTTTAGACTCGGAGATCCTGTTGCCTCTCAGGAGGGGTCTGATAGTTAGAGGTGAACTACGGTGTCCATCCTCTTTTTTTGGAGGTGGGCGTTACTGTCCAGCCTCCTGTGTGGGAGCTGAACTTTGTTGTCCAGCCTCCGTTGCAGGAGGTGAGCTTTGACGTCCATCCTCTTTTTTTAGAGGTAATCGTCGCTGTACAACCTCCTGCACCAGAGTTGGACTTTGTTGTCCAATCTCCTTTGCTGGAGGTGAGCGTTGACGTACTGTCTCTTTGGGTTTTTGTGTTGTAGATTCCATATGGTTTCCACGAGTAGTTAAGGAAGAAAAGGTCAACTGACGCAGAGCCCCGCATGTACCGGCAAGGCTAGATATAAGAGGGTGTCGCCAGGTTTCCTCAGGGAGCGTTTGCTGCCGCATCTGCCACTGTGACAATTCATCCGTCGGCACGTTACACCTTGAGAAATTCTCTTTCGTTTGGTGAAAATTGAATAAAATTAAAAATGTTCTTACATAACTTGACTTTTCTTACAATTTGGCATTTTCCGATACTTTATTAACAGGAAAATAGGGGAAATATTTGGATGGGACGTTTTTTCAGGAGAAAATTTATTTAAAAGAGGAGATAGAGCAAAAATACATTAAGCACAATTATCAGGCAAAGGGGAAAAAGCGAAACTCTTAATTTTTTAACTAATTCATGATCAATTTTAAATGAATACGTCTTGCGAGGTATTTTGGTCCATATAGATTTTTTTATAAAATGTAACTTTTTTGTAAAACCAATAAAACAAGTTTTTTCGTATAGTTCCCACTTAAGTAGACACCGCATTTGTAAATTCTTTTTAAACTTTTTGATTTTCGGTTTGTAAGACGATATTTCTTTGTGTATTGTTTTTGTACCTAAGTTGCATTCCGTCGGGATCTGCCCACATTATTTGCTCTAAAAGTAAATAAAAGCATTTCTTTGTGTAAATGTTTTGTGGCATTTCAATAATTCCTTTTGCATTCATACTTAGAAATTTAATTTTATTTCGATGTAAAGAAATACCTAACAAACCATTTTGCTTCAACAAATCGGTGTAAAATAATATTGTAGAAAATTGTAATGATTAGGAATAATTGGGGATGGCGTCAATATTTACTTTTATTTATCATGTAACCGTTTTGCTTACGGCGTTTGGTGAACCCCCGACTCAACAGATATTTAGCCAATTAGAGCGCAATATTCTAACAGAGAAGACGCAAAAACGTTGCATGTGTATCCTACTTAAGAAAAATAAGCAATGTTGAGTGCCTATTATACTCCATATTTCAACAAGTGACCTGGAGACCCACTTTCAAACTCGAGACTGACTTATGGTACACAGTAAAATATTTTTTAAAACAATATTTTTACTACTTAACTGAACTAATACAATTTTAGTTTCAAAAGATGCTTATAAAAGTGTATTGGTATACTAGTTTTCTTTTGTTGTTCATAAAATTAATTTAAAATATTATAAGTTAATTTTGTCCCACTATGGACTACTCTCCCCTACTATTACAACTAAAAAGTCTAGTAATAAATGTCATTTTTTGGAAGCACCTACGAACCCAAAACATTTAAATTTCACCGCTAACTCCAATTATGATTTATCTCGATGGCTCGGTATATCAGACATCTGACAAATGTTCAGCAAACAAGTCTGTTTTC